CCCCCCCCCCCATCCCAACCCCAAACCCCAACCCCAACCACACACAGAGAAAGAAGCTTTTAACAACACTAGTTTGGATGCAAGGGAGAAAGGGGATGTCTTGGAGTGCATAAAGGGGGATGCTGTTTAAGGCTTGACCTCAATCGTTGGATTGTGGTTAGGTGAACAGTGGCGATGGTGTCTTGGAAATGAAAAAGAGTCGTTGGGCCCTTTTTCTGGAAAATAAAATAAAAATAAGTGGCTGGTTGTTGGTGGTTGGTGAGTGAATAATGAGTGGTTGTTGGTTGGTGGTTGTTGATGAGTGAATGATGGATGAATAATGGGTGGTTATTGGTGAATTAATGCTAGGTGAATAATGGATGGTTATTGGTGGGTAGTTGTTTGCAAGTGAATTGTGAGTGAATAATGAGTGTTGTTGGTGGTTGTTTTTTAATTTTGTAATAGTATGTTTTTTGATGGGGTGAATTATATTTAATTAAATTTTTTTAATTTTTATTATTTTTTATATTTGTCTAGCCAGGCAGAATGTAATTTTTTTTTTTTTTAGAAAAAGTTTGAAAATGGTCACAAAAGACAACAAATAAATAATAAAAAATTATTGCAAAACCTATATCCAAATAATATCTACAAAATTAGAGGAAAAGCTGATTGAGATTTACTAAAATGACATGTGACTATTGGAGCACTATTGCTATAGTTTAGAGGGAAAGTGGAGCATCACTGGAGCAATGGCAAATGCTATTATATAATTTGCCATTGGAGATATTCTTAGTGTTTTGTAAACTAAATATATACATGGGTGGTGGTTTGGGCATTTTAAAATGGTTTGGTCATTTTTTCGTTCAGTAAAATAAATAATAAAAAAATTTAGTCATTAAATTTTAATATAAATATATATAAAATATCTAAAATATTTTTTTTCTAGACGATTTTTTTAATAAAAATAGATAAATAGTTTAGATTGAAAATTAATTAAAAATCAAAATTTAAAATTGACAAATTAAAAATTTAGATTTATTTTTAATATAAGAGATTTTTTATTTTATAATTGTTCCATTTTTAAAAAAAAAATTAAAAATTACTTAAAAAATGAAATTCTCCAAATAGGTCTAGATTTGTCTAGGCTAATGAGTACATATAACGAATGTGGAGGTTGAATAGGCAGGAAGAGCAATTGGACAATAAACCCACACTTCAACACTTTTTTGGTCGGCCTCAGGAAAATCCTGTAAGATGTGTTACCAATATTACCTATTATAAAGTAGTATAATTTTATTATAAAATTTATAATATTAATTATAAATATATAATCTCGTCATTAAATTAATGTAAAAAAAATATCGTAATTATAGTCATAATTTTTGTTATATAAATCATAAAATTTTAAATATTTTATTATATTAATTTATAGCGAAATTACATATTTATATAATTAACCTTATGAATTATGTGATAGAGTCGAGCCAATTATGATCATATATATATAGTGGGATATTTTGAGAAATGAGTAAAAGTCATTTTTCAACTTTTAACTTACTTCATCTCTCACAAAAAAAAGTTAAAAATCAAAAAAATTAATTAAAAATTAATTTTAGTCATCTACCTAGAACACCTCAGTATATATTTCTTAAAGGATGTGTATATGATTTTTCCTTCCTCTAAGATACAACTGTAGCAATATCTCCACGAATAGCATGAAGCATCAAGCTTAAGGTGTGTATTCACCAATTGGCAAAACTTTGTTATAAAATTTGTAATATCAAAAATAAAATATGTAAATTCGTTAAAAATTGATTAATAAAATTTAAAATTTTGTGATTGATGATGTGAAAGTTTGTATTTTTGTTACAAAGTTTTTTAGTATATCAATATTTGACGAAATTACATATTTATAATTAATATTAATAAATTTTATGATAAAATACGTCAATTTCAAATAAGATACATATAGTATGCACTTTATGTCCTCGTTTGACAATTGTGTTTTTTTTTTTTATTTTTTGGCTAAATTAGTTATAAAAAGTAAAATTAAGTTACGAAAAGTCAATAAGTTAATGTCACATCCAAATCAAAATTATTTTATTTTTTCTTTTTATAAAAATCAAAAGGAAGTATGTTAAAAACTAGTTTTTTTTTTTACTTTTTTTAATATTTTTTGAAATTTTTTTTTAAAAAAAAAAAATGTGATATGACCTAAAAAAGATTAAATGTAAAAAAAAAATATTTTAACCCCTTTGTCAAAAGAGGCAAACTTTTTTAACCTGAATTAAACAATAAAAAATTAAAAATCTCCGGAGCTCTCCAAGAAGTATAACAAGACAGTGCACCCCAGACCGTTCAAAGTTGGGGATTGGGTTTTGAGGAAAATTATGGGCAACACCCTGGTGCCAGGAGAAGGCAAACTAGGGGCAAATTGGGAAGGACCTTACAAGATCACTGGTCTGGCGGGCAAGGGGGCTTACCACTTGGAGGATCTAGAGGGAAGAGCCATACCCCGGCCATGGAATGCGGCCAACTTGAAATTGTATTATTTTTAAGCTTTTTACTTTCCTCTTTTTTGTAAAGCAATTTTTTGGCTTTCCAGGCAGAATGTAATTTTTTTTTTTTTAGAAAAAGTTTGAAAATGGTCACAAAAGACAACAAATAAATAATAAAAAAATTATTGCAAAACCTATATCCAAATAATATCTACAAAATTAGAGGAAAAGCTGATTGAGATTTACTAAAATGACATGTGACTATTGGAGCACTATTGCTATAGTTAGAGGGAAAGTGGAGCATCACTGGAGCAATGGCAAATGCTATTATATAATTTGCCATTGGAGATATTCTTAGTGTTTGTAAACTAATATATACATGGGTGGTGGTTTGGGCATTTTAAAATGGTTTGGTCATTTTTTCGTTCAGTAAAATAAATAAATAAAAAAATTTAGTCATTAAATTTAATATAAATATATATAAAATATCTAAAATATTTTTTTTCTAGAAGATTTTATTTAATAAAAATAGATAAATAGTTTAGATTGAAAATTAATTAAAAAATCAAAATTTAAATTGACAAAATTAAAAATTTAGAATTTATTTTTAATATAAGAGATTTTTTATTTTTATAATTGTTTCCATTTTTAAAAAAAAAATTAAAAAATTACTTAAAAAATGAAATTCTCCAAATAGGTCTAGATTTGTCTAGGCTAATTGAGTACATATAACGAATGTGGAGGTTGAATAGGCAGGAAGAGCAATTGGACAATAAACCCACACTTCAACACTTTTTTGGTCGGCCTTCAGGAAAATCCTGTAAGATGTGTACCATATATACCTATTATAAAGTAGTATAATTTTATTATAAAATTTTATAATATTAATTATAAAATATATAATCTCGTCATAAATTAATGTAAAAAAAATATCGTAATTAAGTCATAAATTTTTGTTATATAAATCATAAAATTTTAAATATTTTATTATATTAATTTATAGCGAAATTACATATTTTATAATTAACCTTATGAAATTATGTGATAGAGTCGAGCCAATTATGATCATATATATATAGTGGGATATTTTGAGAAATGAGTTAAAAGTCATTTTTCAACTTTTAACTTACTTCATCTCTCACAAAAAAAAGTTAAAAAATCAAAAAAATTAATTAAAAAATTAATTTTTAGTCATCTACCTAGAACACCTCAGTATATATTCTTAAAGGATGTGTATATGATTTTTCCTTCCTCTAAGATACAACTGTACAAATATCTCCACGAATAGCATGAAGCATCAAGCTTAAGGTGTGTATTCACCAATTGGCAAAACTTTGTTATAAAATTTTGTAATATCAAAAATAAAATATGTAAATTCGTTAAAAATTGATTAATAAAATATTTAAAATTTTGTGATTGATGATGTGAAAGTTTGTAATTTTGTTACAAAGTTTTTTAGTATATCAATATTTGACGAAATTACATATTTTATAATTAATATTATAAAATTTTATGATAAAATACGTCAATTTCAAATAAGATACATATAGTATGCACTTTATGTCCTCTTTTGACAATTGTGTTTTTTTTTTTTATTTTTTGGCTAAATTAGTTATAAAAAAGTAAAATAAGTTAAAAAGTCAATAAGTTAATGTCACATCCAAATCAAAATTATTTTATTTTTTCTTTTATAAA